CAATCCGGGAATATATCAACAAGTTCGATAGGATTATATCGGATCTGAAGGACATCGATGTGACTGTAGAAGATGAGGATCAGGCTCTTCTATTACTTCTATCTCTGCCGAAGTCTTATGAGAACCTGGTGCAAACATTGATGCTTGTGGGAGACAATTTGACGATGGATGAGACTAGAACGGCGCTTCTAGGGGATGACCTTCGAAAGATTGCAACCGGTGACATGACTACTGGTGGTAACAAAGAACAAGCGCAGGGATTGTTTGCTAGAGGAAGGAGCAATGAGCGAGGAAAAGGCAAGGGAGGAAAGTCTAGATCTAAATCGAGACCTCTTGCGGGACGAGCGTGTTTCAAATGCGGTGAAGTTGGGCATTTCAAGGTCGATTGTCCTAACAAGAGAGTAGGTGGGAAAAAGAACAACAACAAGACCGAGAGAAGAGAAGGCAAGGAAGAGGCGAGTTACGCATCGGAGGAAGGGAGCGATAAAGAATGCTATGTTGTTACGGGTGGCGAAGATACCTCCGGTAAGTGGATACTTGATTCAGGTTGCTCTTACCACATGTGCCCAAATAGGAAGTGGTTTACTACCTATAGGAGCATTGATGGTGGAACTGTATTGCTGGGGAATAACCATGCTTGTAAAACGGTGGGGCTCGGTGATATAAAAATCAAGATGCATGATGGAGTGGTCAGAACCCTAACGGACGTGCGGCACGTTCCCGACTTGCGGAAGAATCTTATCTCAGTGGGTGCATTAGACTCCGGTGGCTGCAAGATTGTTACAGAGAACGGAGTAAAGAAGGTTGTTCGAGGTTCCCTAACAGTGATGAAGGGTGTTCGTCACGGTAATCTATATACTCTCTCGGGTACGACGGTGACAGGAGATGCAGCGGTTGGAACTGATGGAAGTGGTGGAGACCCATGTGAGCACACCCGGTTATGGCATAGGCGGCTTGGGCACATGTCAGAGAAGGGTCTGGTTCTGCTTGGTAAGGAGGGTTTGCTGAAGAATCTGAAGAAACCTTGCATGGATTTTTGTGAGGATTGTGTGTACGGAAAGGCGCACAGGGTCCAATTCTTGAAAAGCAATCACAAGAGCAGAGGTATACTAGATTATGTGCACACGGATGTTTGGGGTCCGGCTCAGACAACTTCCAAGGGTGGTTCCAGGTATTTTGTCTCGTTCATAGATGATCATTCGAGATATGCTTGGATTTATTTTCTTAAGCATAAGAATGAGGTATTCGAGACATTCAAGAAGTGGAAAGCAATGGTTGAGAACAGGACGGGCAAGAAATTGAAGACACTAAGATCTGACAACGGTACAGAGTATACAGACGGTGCTTTCAAGGAGTTCTGTGATCAGGAGGGCATTGTTCGACACTGGACAGTCAGGTCAACACCACAGCAGAACGGGGTCGCGGAGAGACTGAACCGAACATTGCGGGAGAAGGCAATGAGTATGCGATCTTATGCTGGATTGGGCAACGAATGGTGGGCAGAAGCGGTGGCTACAGCATGTTACATTGTGAACCGTTCTCCACATTCGACATTGGATGGTGATACACCCTATAGGGTGTGGTCAGGGGAACATGCAGATTATGAGAGGCTCAGAATTTTCGGATGTACCGCCTATTATCACGTCAACGAGGGAAAGCTTGACGCGAGGGCTAAGAAGGCGATATTCTTAGGGTATGCGAAGGGCGTAAAAGGCTACCGCCTTTGGTGTACAGAAGATTCAAAGTTCGTGATCAGCAGGGATGTTACCTTTGATGAAAAATCCATGATTGCTAGGGCGCCCAAGGATGATGGTGTTGGGACTGTTGGGACTTCAAAGTCCCAGGTTATTGAGATAGAACCTAAAGACCAACCAGGTTCTAGTCATGTTCAAGTGGGAAATCAGGTAGATGATGAGCTTGAGCAGGAGGAGGTTCAGCAAGAAAATACACAAGCACTACAACAGCAGCAGCTCGAGGATACTTTGGCTTCCACTATGCCAAAGCGAGCATACAAGCAGGTACAGAAGCTGGGGGCTGATCAACCCCTGAAGCACTATGGGCAGGTTAATTTGGTTGAATACGCACTCTCGGTGGAGGAAGATGAGCCGATCTCCTTCAAGGAAGCTATTCGGGATAAAGATAATGAGAGTTGGTTGGCTGCGATAGAGGAGAAGATGGAATCTCTTCGGAAGAACCAAACATGGGAGGTGGTCCCATTGCCCGTAGGAAGAAAAGCTATTGGTTGTAAGTGGGTGTATAAGAGAAAGGAAGATCCTTCAGAGCTCGGTGGTACAAGGTACAAGGCGAGGCTAGTGGCTAAAGGGTTTGCACAAAAAGAGGGTGTGGATTACAATGAGATCTTTTCTCCGGTGGTGAAACACACTTCTATTCGGGTGCTATTGAGTATTGTTGCTCATGGTGATCTTGAGCTGGAACAACTCGATGTTAAAACGGCCTTCTTGCACGGAGACTTGGATGAAGAAATCTACATGCATCAACCTGAGGGCTACAAGGTTGAGAATAAGGAACATCATGTATGTCGCTTGAGGAAGTCACTCTATGGACTAAAGCAATCTCCTCGGCAGTGGTACAAGCGATTTGACTCCTTCATGCTAAAGCATGGGTTTTCCCGAAGCGATTACGATTGTTGTGTTTACATTCAAAAGCTTCGTGGAGGTGATTATATCTATCTCCTTTTGTATGTGGATGACATGCTTATTGCTTCAAGAAGCAAGGTGGAGATAGATAGGTTAAAATCTCAACTTGGTAAAGAGTTCGAGATGAAGGACATGGGCGCTGCTAGAAAAATACTGGGTATGGAGATTAGAAGAGAGCGGGCGAATCGGCGATTGTTCTTGAGTCAGAAGGGCTACATTGAGCGGGTGATCGCGAGGTTCGGGATGCAAAGTGCTAAGTCGGTGACGACTCCATTGGCTTCACACTTCAGGCTTTCAGGTAAACAATCTCCCACTACAGCGGAAGATAAGGCACACATGGAGCGTGTTCCTTATGCTAGTGCAGTTGGCAGTTTGATGTACGCCATGGTGT